ACTGAATTTAGTAAACAATTTATTAACTTATTACTAATAAAAAAAATAATAATATAAAAAAAAAAAAAAAAAAAAAAACATTTCTTTCACGCACCCGTCGAGATCCCACACCCCTCTTGCATTATCTCCGCTGCACCCCCCACTCAGCTCTTCATTTGCTCATTTGCTAGGCTGACAAGCTCCGACACGCTACAGAAGCACACGCCCAACCCAAAGAGAAAAAGAAAAAACACGCGAGCCCCTGACATTATAATACCTCAGTACTTCGACGTGTCTAAAGACCATCCACGAGTAGACAGCCCTTAGGCCGTACCCATACTTGGACTCGGATTGAATCTGTGCGTTTGCGGTCCGATTCATGCTGGAGCTTCCGAGTATATGGACGTTCCCTTATACCACCACAGCATATAACAGAAAAATTGCAGGTGTCCACATGGGCCGGGCCAGCCTACGACAGCCCCGAGCGTCCTAGTGGGTAGGCTTTCTGAGCCCGCCCCACGTGGGCTGGACTGAGCCTGGACTGAGCCCAGTGCAGGTGTGTATATATATATATAGTCAAACAGAGCTGCCTACGGTAAACGGTAGGCAGAGAGGGAGAAGAGAAGAAGAGGACAACAAACGAGGGACTGTGACAAACTGTATCGTCGGAGTTTCACCAGTAGAGGCTGGACCCTCAACAGTCTGCAGAATCCCCTAACTGATTACATTGTCAGTGATAATCCACATTCCTTAACCCCGGCTGTGGTTAAGCATCAACGACTGCCCGACAACTGATAGCCCTCTGAGGTGGTGGGGACCACCAACCACTGCCCTAAAGGTGTACCTGTGACGAAAACCAAAGCAGACTATCACTCACCCACACTGGATGGAAAACTCTACACACTGTCGGTTCACACCCCATCACAAGCCAGCAAAACACCCACGAAACAAAGAAAAGGTCTGTCACAGCCAAAAAAATACATATGATGAGTAGGTGAAAGTCCAACGGAACAGACTGCCACAGCCCCCAGTTTTTGTGCTCTCCCTTTCCCTCACAGAGCTAAGAGTGTCTTTGCGAGAGAGAAACAGAGAGAGGGGGGGGAGGAAACGCAAACGAAGCACAACCATATTTTGTCTTCTTTCTTTCCTGCAGGTTTTTTTTTTCCCGTGCTAGAAAGGGAAAAAAAAACGTTTTTTTTTTTTTTTTTTTAATACTTTTCAGAGCTTTCCTAAATTTTTTCACTGACTTTTACTCTTTATACTTCTTTACTTTGTGTTTGGGTGCAAGGCTGCCCACGCTCGCTGAGGCCAGCGGCCAGTGCCTACACCCCCGTCTGCTGCCTAGAAGCACACTTGCACCGTACACAGAATGAGGCAGACAGACTTACAAAAAAAAAAAAAAAAAAAGAATGAGACAGACAGGAATCCAATCAAGGGCAGGGATAGGCAGCATGAGAAAGCGTGGGGAAGCAAATCAAGGGCAGGGATAGGCAGCATGAGAAAGCGTGGGGAAGCAGGGGTTCAGGGTTGTTAAATCAGCTTTCGCTTGCAATGGAATGATCTCGACTTTTTGTTATTAAAAAAAAAAAAAATCAGCCTTCGCGACAAAAAGGGCAGGAACGAAACCGGTGGTGTGGGCAATTGCAGGAGGGTGAACCAGAAATCTCAAACTGCAAAAAGAGAGTCAATTTGCAAACGCCTGGCTGGCGGAGAGACCATCCATGCCCCGAAAATACTCAAAAAAAAACTTCAGATGTCATGCCGGCTGCAGGCAACGCCAAAAGGAAAGGGGGTTGTTGCTCCCAACTGCCCGCATTGCATCTGGTATAAAGCGAAGTGGTAGAACGCATGTTTTGCAAGTATGAGGTTCTCGGTTCAAGTCCGATCGTCTCCAGCAGAGTACTGCTCTCAGTACCAGGTAGATCTTGAGGTTCCCCGGCCTATCCTCACTTGCAATTTAAAAAAGAAAGAAATTTGTGCTGTTGTTGTTGCCGGGGGGGGGGGGGGGGGGGGGGGGGGGGGGGGGGGGGGGGAAGGGAAGGGAGGGCGGTTGCAGATAAACCGCAGGAGACCATGCCGGTTAAAGGCAAGGATAGAGGATAGATGACATGCCGGTTACAAGACAGGCAGGAAAGGACAAGTGGCTTGCTGGTTGCCCGGGCCCGTTGCAGATCAACCGCAGGAGAGCATACATTCAACCCATCCTTGCAGATCGTGGCGGTAAGAAGATTTTCTTCTCTTTAAAAAAAAAAGACTAAGCTATACTCGTGTCTCAATTTCACTTTTCACTATCTACCTACCACTAGTCATCAGCCTATACAAGGGACCCCTTTTTTTTTTTTTTTTTTTTTAAAGCCTATACAAGGGACCCCTGCAAGCATAGCTTTCTACCTCTCACAATTAAGGGGGATGCATGTTGTCC